TTTAAGCCAATCAGAGTGCTCTTTGTCATTTTACACAGCTTGGGAAAATTCCAAAGAACTTTCCCACACTGTGTAATTTGATTCATAACACTCTGATTGGTGTGCTTGGAATCTAACCAATCAGAGTGCTCTTTGTCATTTTACACAGCGTGGGAAAATTCCAAAGAACTTTCCCACGCTGTGTAAAATGACACAAAGCACTCTGTCTTAGGGCCCCCACCCTACACCCAGGGGTGGGGGCCAGGGGGGAGGACAGTAGGTCCCCCCATTGAAATTTATGGCCCCCACCCACCGCGCAGGGTTGGGGGCCGGTGGGGGGAGGACAGTAGGTCCCCCCTCATTATCTTTATGCCCTCACCCACCGCTCAGGGGTGCAGGGGATGGCCCCCACCCACCGCGCAGGAGTGGTGACCGGGAGGGAGGACAATAGGTCCCCCCCACTTATTGTTATTTAGGGCACCCACCCACCACGCAGGGGTGGGGGATAGATAGTATTTTTTTACAGTGAGCAGCCACAGGCGGTATAGCGAGTAGGGGCATTCGGGAGATTTTAATCTCCCTTATGCTATTATGGGGGTCATATTGACCCCCATAGAGTAAGGGAGGACCTGGGGGGCTTAGGAAGTGGAGGGGAGCACAGCTCTTTACATATTACAAGGAGTGAGCTGCGCGCCAGTAGCTCCCTCCTTGTAATAACCTGAACGAACAAACGAACACTGATAGTGTTTGTTTGTTCATCTGATTTTTCTATTCATTTATTCATTTTTCTGACGAATTAATGAATGGATGAAATTCCCGTTCGCATGTCCATGTGTTGAACTGGGCATGTGTGGGAATCTCAGCGCTGTATAGTGTGGGCAGATGACGTGTCCCACAGGGACTTCATCTACCCACACAAAGATGGCAGCACTCTGACTATAGATCGGGGCAGAAAATAAAGATTAAAAAATAGGTAATCTGGGGGGCTTAGGGGCATTTGGGGGTGACTAGTGGGTCAGTTAGATGTGGAGTTGGGAGGGGGGGGTTAAAAAAAAACCCGGGATTCAGCCATGACAGTGCCGCTTTAAAGGCACACTCTAGGTACCAACACCACTACATCTTGATGTGTGAGAAGATCCTGTATCTGTGTTCTGACAAATGTAAACAGTTGTGAAAAATTACAGTGTTCACCATCAAAATGCATCTAGTATTAGCCACCAATAAATCAGACAACTTCTGGAGACACCTTTTCATTAAAAAATTACTCTTTGGTTGTCACTGTGTCTGGTCGTCTTCCTCTCTGGTTGCTTTCTTGTCTGCGTCGTGCAAGTTCAGCTGTTGGAGGAATTTATCTTGGTTGTCTGAGTAGGTCAGGGTGAGTGACACCCCGTGACACCTCCAGGGTTCCATCTGCACCGCACCGGTATCTGACTGCAGCGTCTCTTACCCTTCTGGCTGTTGGTGCCAGTTGTCCTCTTTTCTACAGGGACTGCAAACGGGAGATCCCCATAGAAGGCCACTTTGCTACCCTTGAACTGCACATTGCCTAAGGTTCTGGAGCAGAAACTAATTGCAAATATGGTTGCCATGTCTTTTGTGGCTACTATGGTGTCTTTGGGTTTCTCCGCTGGTGCTGTGGTGGCTTTTGCGGATTCTCAATGTGGACATTAGCATGCTGGGCTCGTTGCTCCCTCTTATGCCCATTACCATTAGTAGGCTGTATACGTAGGTTGTCTCTTGCACTCTCTCTGACTTCCACTTCTGTAAGCCTCTTCTGGATATCTCCCACTTCTTGCCTTGTGTTCCACAGGTCTGCCCTCCACACCTTCCTTATTTCTTCTAGGACGTCTCTTATGTCCCTCTTCGTCACTGGGGATGAGTCTTCTTCCAAGTCAGAAGCTTGGTATTGGGCCCCATATGCAGCCGGAGGTGAGGTAAGGCTTTCTCTGTCCTCATGGGAGTCTTCCGAGGCCTCCTCGTCGCTGAGTGCCTCGGGCGCCATCTTGGCAGGTGCTGGTGGAGTAGGCCTCACAAATGAGAGCCTAATATTGGGTGTTTTAGGTGGCTTTGGAAGGCGGAGTTTCTTATTCTTGTGCCCCATTACAGTCTCTGTGTGGGGGGCTCTTGTACTGCTGTTTCAGGGAGCTGTTTTCGTGTTTTTGTTCTATTTTGTTATTCTCTGGTACGGAGCTCCACAGAAACGTGTACGTTTCGTTAGGCAGTTGGCCACGCCCCCTGTTTTTTCTCTTTTAATTCTATGGATAATGAGATGTGTGACTGTACCTGCCTTTCTTGACTACTGGCGCAATCCTGACTATCCCCCCTGTTATGCCTAAGGGTGGTAGCAGTAGTTTTGGCAGAGGTAGCACTGGTTATAGGTTGTGATAACTGCACAGAATCAGATACTGCCAGCTGCCTCCCCTAGAACTTTGTTGTTCTGTTTTTTCCCTCAACATAACAGAATAGTGATAGTGATATATTTGCAGATGTTGCTTCATTACCAATAACTCACCCCCTACTCATTTCTTTGCAGCACAAATTGCACTTTGCTAGTCAGACTTCACTGAGGCACTCATAGTAGTCCGAACTTTGCTTTGTTGACACAAGTCGGTATCATCAGCCACTTGCCTTGTGTCTACACAGTATGGGAGGATTTGCATCAGTGACAGTGGAAGTAGTCACAACATTAGCGTGTACACTGTGCCAGTTCTGGTGATGTTAAAAATGGTTATGTTGGTGATAGTGATGGTATAAGTGATTGTAATGTTGACAGTGAGTGAGACAATGTGTCAATGGTAGAAGGTGCAGCTAATCACAACTGTCTCTATATATTTATTAAGAATAGAGCAGGACATATTTTTTTTAATACAATTTAAAGGGACACTCCAGACCCCTAAAGCACTTTAGCTTGTGTAGATAAAAATTTACACTTTTATAAATTAATCTGGTTTCTCCCATCTTGCTTTCAAGCAGACAGCAGGCAGCATGTTTTCAACATGTAGAGAAAGTCTGGTGGTAAATCATTATACCCAAAATAATATGCATAAGATGGAAGACTATTTCCAGCTTCTAATTAAAAAGATGAAAGATGAGTTTCATATTGAGAGGCATGAAGATCTTATATAACTGAACATATAACTAAAAGTTAAGATCAAAGTAAATGTATAGAATTTGCTGTTGGTCTTCCCTGAAAATGAAGAGATGATGGGAGTGGTCCTCTTTAAGCAAGTTGGTAATATCAAGTAATGTAGAGAGTAATGGGTAATTGCATACCTAGTTACTGGTATTGGTGAGTGCTGATTTGGTTATTCTAAAATGCACCACTCAGTATAAATAATGTGGAATGACATTTGCTGGAATTTCCCAGGGAAGATATGAAAATAGAGTGGACCATTAAGTGATTTTATTAACACAACTCTAGCCTTAAAATGACACTATAGTCACAAAAACAGCTTTAGCTTAATTAAGCAGTTTTGGTGTCCAGATCATGCCCATGCAGTCTCACTGCTCAATGCTCTGCCAGTTAGGAGTTAAATCATGTTGTTTATGCAGCACTAGTCACACCTTCCTGCATGTGACTTACACATCCTTCCTAAACCCTTCCTGTAAAGAGTCATTTAATGTTTACACTTCCTTTATTGTAAATTTTGTTTAATTTAGAATTTCGTATCTTGTGTTATCTCCTGCTTTGATAATAGCTTGCTGAACTATGCAGGAGCCTCCTGTATGTTGTTAAAGTTTATTTTACAGAGCAGGGGATCAAAACATTTAAAGCTAGTAACATCTGGTTGGAAATGAAACTTTTTGTCATGCAGACTGTCAGTCACAGCCAAGGGAGGTGTGGCTATGGCTGCATTAAAAGAAGCAAAAGTGATTTAACTCCTAAAGCATGGACCTGAACAGTGAAACAGTAGGGACATGATCAATCCAGCTTGAAAACATATTGTATTAAAAAAAAAAAAAGTAAGATAAAAGTTTTACTGGGTACAATAGTATATTATTTAGCAATTTTACGATTAACTTGTATGTTGTCCAAAAGGTTTCAACATGGTCCTCTAAATTAATACCACAAATTACAGACTAAGATGTGGTTTTCATGAAGTGAAAGCAATTAAAGTTTACACTATTTTTCTGGAGAAATTGCATTTAATTGCCACTCGTGTCAGCTCTTTTGCATTACTATATTTAGTCTTTTGCTTAGAAAGTAATTCTAAACTGGAAAGGTCCATCGTAAAAGAGTGTTCTAACAGTCAGCTTAAATCGAGAAATGCCCGTATTGCATTTTTGACATATAAATACTTAAACTGTTACACAATGCTCTTTTATAGGAACAGCTTGTGCCTCATACTTCAAGATTAATTAATAAACAGTTTGCCACAGGTGGCGCATGCCCAATATACAGACTTTATTCATGGGTACAATTTAAGGCTGACTTTAAACGGCCGTCAATGATCTGTGTGTTTCATTTTCATTGGACCAATCTCAATAAATACAATTAAAATAAACACCGGCATGATGCTGCAAGCTTAAAAAAAACATGAAAGCTTCTTCAAAACACATATTTTAAGGATCGTTTTGTTCAGTAAACCATTTAAAACAATATTATGAGGAGAAAGGGTCTCACTATAGTTACACATGCTTACAATTTGATTACAATTTACATGAGTTATTTTACTGTAGAGTGTTGAATAAAAAAAGATGTTCAGACATCTGGAATCAATTTCTCTCCAGTATATCATAGCTGGTATTTGATGTTGCAATGTGACACTTATTTCTCTTTTTAATCTCCAAATTGTATAAAAGCATAATGTAGAAAGTGGATACATACGTGAGATGACTTTGCTTTTCCCTGTTTTCTCATCTTTGATTTAATTTTTTTACACAGTTTCTTTTGCTATTTTCATATAGTAGAAGCGTTTGGAAGACTGAAGCTAGATAATATGCATTAAAATGTTATGTTTGGGGCATGGCCTGGACACCAACGGGAGAAGTCGCATTTAATTGCAGCTCCACGCCAAAAGGCCTAAACTGAGCAATTGCTCCACAAACCAACGGCAACTGACAACTAAAACGGCTATAATGTCTCACCCCAAGACAAATAGACAAGCAGAAAAAACGGACAAGACGCAGTTTTTCGCTCCGAAGCAGAACGCACACAAAGAGTCAGCTCAGGTGGCGGAAAGTCAAGATGGCGCCGACGATGCTCATGAGACAGCTCCCTGTGCAAGCAGTGATCAGGGGCCTCTGACCCAGGCAATAATGAAAGACATGCTGGATGAGATGTCTACCAAAATCATGAAAAGTGGGCAAGCCACCATAGGAGATCTACGCAAAGACAGGGCTGCCATCAGGAGGTGACAACTAAGTGCATGGGCAGCCTGGGCCCCACGTGTAGCGGCGGAACTTCCGCCGGTGCATTTGCACCGGGGCCCGCACGCTGATGGGGCCTATCGGGTGGCCCTCTTCAGGGGCCCGGTCAGCGCTGTGGCCATGGTATAGCACGACCGGGCCCTTTAAAAAAAAAAAAAAGCAGCCCCAGCAAGTGCTGCTGGGAGGCAGTGGTCACTTCCTCCGAGCTCACTCCGTGCGGGAGGGGAGCACGTGCGGCTGTGAGGGAGAGCCGTGCCTACTACTCCCATCAGCCCCAGCCACCCTCCTGCAAAGAAAAGGTAAGAGACAGGAGGGTGGCTGGAAAATGAGCTGTGTGTGTGTGTATTTCTATGTATGTATGTCTGTCTGTATATGTCTATCTGTATGTATGTCTGTCTGCCTGTATGTGTATGTCTGTATGCATGCATGTCTGCCTGTCTGTATGTATGCATGCATGTATGTCTGTGTATGTATGCATGTCTGTATGTCTCTGTCTGTATGTATGTCTCTGTATGTATGTCTCTGTCTGTAAGTCTGTATGTATGTCTGTATGCATGCATGTATGTCTGTCTGTCTGTATGTATGTTTGTCTGCATGCATGTATGTCTATGTATGTATGTCTGTATGCATGTATGTCTGTCTGTATATATGACTATGTATGTATGTATATATGTATGTCATTATATATGTATGTCTGTATGTCAGTATGAATGTATGTCTGCATATCAATATGAACGTATGTCTGTGTATATGTGTGTATGGATGTCTGTATGCATGTATGTCAGTATGTATGTATGTATGTATGTCTGTCAATATGTCTGTATATATGCATGTATGTCAGTCTGAATGTATGTCTGTATGCATGCATGTATGTCTATGTATGTATGTCTGTCTATGTATGTATGTCTGTATGCATGCATGTATGTCTGTCTGTATGTATGTCTGTCTGCATGCATGTATGTCTATGTATGTATGTCTATGTATGTATGTCTGTATGCATGTATGTCTATCTGTATGTATGTCTATCTGTATGTATGCCTATGTATGTATATATGTATGTCTGTATGTCATTATATATGTATGTCTGTATGTCAGTATGAATGTATGTCTGCATATCATTATGAATGTATGTCTGTGTGCATGTGTGTATGGATGTCTGTCTGTCTGTGTATGGATGGATGTCTGTCTGTATGCATGTATGTCAGTATGTATGTATGTCTGTCAATATGTCTGTATATATGCATGTATGTCAGTCTGAATGTATGTATGTATGTATGTATGCCATTGTGAATGTATGTCTGTGTATGTCTGTATGCCATTATGAATGTATCTGTGTATGGATGTCAGTGTCTGTATGTCTGTCAGTATGTCTGTATGTATGAATGTATGTGTGTATGTATGTATGTCGGTGTCTGTATGTATCTCAGTGTGTATGTATGTATGTGTCTTTATGTCCTCATGCATGTGTGTCTTTATGTTTGTTAGTATGTGTATGTCTCAGTATGTGTGTGTCAGTATGTTTGCCTGTATGTGTGTATGTCTGTTTCAGTATGTGTGTCTGTTAGTATGTATCTGTGTCCTTTTGTATGTGTGTGCGTTTGTGTCTGTGTATGTATTCATATGGGCGGTATTTGGAGTCGGACCCTGTGGGCAGTATTTGGAGGCAGGGCCCAGGGGGCCCAGACCCTGAGCTGAGTTAGGGGGCCCCAAAATTTCTGGTGGCGGCCCTGCACAAGGAGCTCGGAGATCTTGGCTACAGAACCTCACGAATAGAGGAAAAGATGGCCGATGCTGAGGAGGCACATAACGAAATAGCAGACAGGCTGGCACAAATGACAGAGCGCATTACTGCACAAGGGGTAAAACTTGCGGACATGGAGGACAGAAGCCGCAGAAACAACCTGCGGCTGAGGGGGGTGGCGGAGTCTGTGGGCTTGAACGACTTAACAGCGCACATCACGGCCTACCTCAAGGCATTGGTGCCCGACATCCTGCAGGACATGCTCCTCTTTGACCGCATCCACAGGACAGCAAGACCCAAATTCCTACCACCGGACGCTCCCAGGGACATATTGGTGCGCATGCACTATTACCACACCAAGCAGGACATATTGAAAAGCAGCAGAACCCGCAGGGACTTGCCAGAGCAGTACTGCAGCATCATGCTGTTTGCCGATGTATCAGCATTTACCCTCAAAAAGAGAAGAGAATTTCAAGACATCACTGCGGCGCTCAGGGAGCATCACATAGTGTACTGCTGGGGATATCCAGTTAAGCTGCTGGTGCAGAGAGAAGGCAAGACTGTAATATTTTTCACCCCAGTGGAAGGAGCCCACATACTGAGAGCATGGGGCATCGAAAGAGAACCCCAGAACAACCTGTCCAATACCGGACTGGAAAAGAGCAAAACGTACATAGACTGTACAAGCATGGTGCAGGGGATGGCTTACTGTCGCAGATTGTGCTGAGCCGCAAGTATTAATACTGTACTGCTGATCAGACCACTGTTATTGTAAATGTCCATTGCTTAAACACTTGTCCATACCAAGTTAAAACTCCACAACGCTTACTATTGAAGGGAGAGCAAGACATAGGGCAGTCATGATTGTCTAGAGGAATAGGGGACAAACCTGATGTTTAAAGGGATTGGGATCCCAAAGAGATAAATTGCAGCTGACCCCAAAAATCAATTACTTACCTGTTCAAATTGCCATAGGTATAAAGGCTTGCGTGCAGCGCAGCCTCTCACAGGCATAGAGCTTCTACCCCCAAGGCACTCGGATGAACTGCCTAGCCACAAGTAGGGGATGGTTCAACATTGTACATACTTTCTTTAATGTATGGTTGTTTTTATGTCGCTACGCCCAGCGGGATGCGGCCTGTTGTCCACGACGCTGGGGTCTATGTTCAGGACCAGGTGGGTGGTCTCCTCTCCAATACTCATAGAGAACGCGCCTCCACTAGAGGACGTGCAAGAATCAGAACTAAATTATGCCAAAGGACCTTTGGGAAGTTAGCACAGACCCCAGGGGTTGGCCTGCTCCGCTTGATGGCACTGGGAGGAGCGAGCCGCCTGTAACAAACAAACACTCACAATACACAGCACAACCCTTCATGTTAGACCTTACATGAAAATATACACACATAATGTAAGGGGATTGAATATCCCAGCAAAAAGACACTTACTGACCCGAGAACTACAGAAACAAGGCGCAGACGTGGTCTGCCTGCAGGAGACACATTTCCGCACCTAGCTAGGGAATACCCACACCAGTTTCACTCTACCTCCCCGACCAAGGCCAAGGGTACCTCTATCTTGCTAAGCAGACATGTCTCCTTCTCCCTAATATCACAGCATGTAGACCCAATGGGCAGATATGTGGTGATAGTGGGAACAATTAATGATATGGTGTATACAATTTCTAACATATATGCGCCCAACCAAAACCAGAGGAATTTCTTTCACAAAATATTTCAAACTTGACGCCTATACAACAAGGCATAACACTAGTTTGCGGTGACTTTAACCACATCTTTGACCTGACCATGGACTCCACCTTACACAGATCCAGTGGTAGATACAAGACCCTCAGACGACAGAGTAAAGCCCTCCAGACCCTTTTACACACCTACCACTATTATGACACATGGAGAATCACACACCCCTCGGAAACGGCATACACACATTTCTCCCACGTACACAACTCATACTCCAGGATAAATGGATTTCTTCTCTCAGGCTCTCACCTGAACCAGATCAGGGCCTGTGACATAGCACATATCACATGGTCGGATCACGCACCGGTGCTCCTGGAAATGAAAGACCTCTTTGACTTTAAGCACCGCAGCCCCTGGAGAATTAATGTATCCCACACACACAGGAAGGCGCACCAAGATGTGCCACCTTTTACTCAAAATATGGGATGCTTCCAGTCAACCCCTGTACAGCCTGCACTTAGTAAACCCCACTTTTGACCACTGCCCCTGGACACAACAGGGATACATCAGGGTTAGCCATTTATACGACAATGACAAACTAGCCGACTTTCCAGACCTACCACATAACACAGTTTTCCAATACCTCCAGGTGAAATCCATGCTCCAGGGATCTAAGACTATTACTGAAACGGCCAATGCAAAATACATTGAACAGATGTGTACAGCCACAAAACATGCCAGGAAGCTACAATACACTCTTTACAATATTTTAATCCAGCAAAATACAAACCCCCCGCCAGACAGGTTTAAGTTAGCATGGCAAACAGACATAGGGAAAACTTTCACTGACCAGCAATGGGGAAAAGCATTCTTGGCACACAAAAAGAGGACGAACTGTGCCTCTCACCTGGAGCAGATGCGCAAACTCCAATAGCGTTGGTACATGGTGCCTGAGAGGTTTTTAAAAAATTTACCCAAACACTTCTAGCGCATGCTGGAGATGCCAAGAGGATGGGGGATCGATGTACCACGTATGGTAGAAGTGCCCAATAATAGCAAACTACTGGGGGGAGGTGGAAAGGATAGCGAGAACGGTCCTAGGTAGTAAGATCAAGATAACACCGGAGTGTAGACTCCTGTTCATTGGTTTAGATGAGTTCAGCACAACAGACCCCCATTTACTATTTCATATCCTCGAGGCAGCCAATACCCTAATAGCAAGGGCTTGGAAACAAGCTCAAGCACCTACCAGAGACGCCCTGCTTCAGCAAATAACTATGAATCCGGTGTACGAAAAGGGACTAAACAGACAAAACCTTTCCAACAAATATGCCACCTTGGCCCACACAAAGTGGGTGACGAAGTTGGGGGGGGGAGGGGAGTAGCAATAATACAAGACAAAAAAAAAGTGTCTAGTGCTTAGTGAAAAACACCCCTACAGGGGAAAGGGCATCGCAATGCATGGGAGAGTAGAGACCGCTGCCCGCACCGGGCAAGTTAACCCACATATACATAGTTTATGGCACAAAAAGAGGTGCGCCTATATGTATGACCGAGAACACAGACAAGGACAAGGAGCGATCACAAGAAGTTAGAAAATAGAATGAAAGAAAAGGCAGCTGAGAGGCCTAAGAGAGGCTTGGTCCTAGTACAACAAGGGAAGAAAAGCAGGACACCTGGTTAACAACGGTTATTATTATAAGGTGATACAAAACAAAATGAATGTGTCTGTTCCCCCCAAACCCCACTCCTGTTCCCCAATCTTTCTTTTTCTGTACGCCTACCCCCTCCCTGCACCTGAAAAAATGTTCATCAAAAAGACCATAGACGTATAGAGTATACAATATCTGAAACGTCAAGATGAGCTCAAAAAATACGATGATGTGTTTATTGTTCCCCTCATTATCCTGTTTTTCTTCTGTACCCCTGGAAAATAAAAAAAATCAATAAAAACTGTCAAATTGAAAAAAAATATTACGGTTTAATATGACAAACTAAAGGGTAAAAGTGGTGAAATTTTACCTTCTTCTAATGCCTACAAATTTAAAGGGACACTATAATCACCAAAACGACTTTAGGTTAATTAATCAGTTTTAATGTATAAATCATGCCACATCATTGCTCAATTATCTGCCATTTAGGAGTTAAATCACTTTGTTTAAGCAGCCATAGTCACACCTACCACAGCCTTTCTAAACACTTCCTGTAAAGAGTCATCTAATGTTTCCACTTCCTTTATTTCTAATTCTGTTTAATTTAGATTAAAAAGCAATAGCAAGAAAAAGCTGTGTATTATCTTGAAAAGTGATTGTGTCGCAGCTTGAAAGAATCCATCGGTTTCTGCTGTCTTCACTTGCAATGCTACAATGCAATAGACAAAGGAAGAATAAATGCAACAAAAAACAATCCAATAATGTCAACGTAAAGAAACCCTGGGGCCATTTAAAATACATCTATTGGTACTTATGGAGCTTTGTCTAAAAAATAACCAGACAAGTATTGTTAACCCCTTAAGGACTGAGCTAAATGTACATGTTGTGATCAAAACAAAACGTAAACAAAACCTGGAATTTGACTATATGTCTATTCAACCGTAATTCACCTCTTTCATATTAAGTGCATCCACACTTATATATCATTTTATTCAGGGTAAACAGGGCTTTCATTTAACATCAAATATTTAGCTTTGTATATAATTTATTATGAATAAAATATAAAAAAAATTGGGGAAAATAAGAAATGTTTTTTAGTTCTACATGTCATTCTAACTGTGAATGTCATAATACTGTTAGCTTTTACTGCAATAAAATATACATATTTATACATATTTGTATTCAGCGATGTCTCACGTGTAAAACAGTACCCTCTATGCACATGTTTTATGGTATATTGGGAAGTTACAGGGTCAAATATAGCATGTTACATTTTTTCGTTTTTTCACATTGAAATTCTCCAGATTGGTTACGTTGCCTTTGAGACCATATGGTAGCCCAGGAATGAGAATTACCCCCATGATGGCATACCATTTGCCATAGTAGACAACCCAAGGTATTGCAAATGGGGTATGTCCTGTCTT